GACATTGGATCCAGACTCGACATTGGGATTCAGACATTTTGACGAGGGACTATTTGGCCTGTGCCGAAGACTTGGTGTTGACGACATTCCCATCTTTCCCTCCTCTTCGTCTAACCCCCCTCTTCTTCGTCTGTGTATGTGTGGGGCTGGCGCATTCTTCCTGTGTGAGCGCCAGACCCCTTTCACACCATGGAATGATGATGATGATGTATGTTCGGGGCTGCATTGCAATATTGATTGTTCGGATCATAGGTATCTAAAGTCTTCCGCTTCGCCATTTTGTACTTTGTATGAGAGGTCGGTTCTTGTTCTGTCTGCACCTTTACTGTATGCAACAGTTTGGTATCGGAGCGAACCTCTCAATCAGAGGACCCGCTCAATCAAGTAGCTTGCTTTATCTATTGATCGGGCAGTAGTAAATCAAGTAGGACTTCATCAAATCTCTGAATTTTTTTTTTTTCTTTTTGTCTCATATATCTGATATTCGTGATAATAGCGTTTCGTATATCGGAAAATTCCTGATATTTGCATTTTGTTTTACGCAATAAACATCTGAAATTCCTGGTAATAGCATTTCGTTTTATCTGAAATTCCGATGTTAGCATTTCGTTTTTACGCAACAAATATCTGAAAGTTCTGAAAGTAACAGTTCGTTTCTCTGATAGTTAAAATCCGAAATATCTGATATTCGCATACATAGCAGAAAAATTCTGACCTTAGTATTTCGTTTTCTAGGCATAATAGGATAACGATAGAAATGGTCATAGTCTCGGATACCGGATTTATTCTGTTCTGGAAATCGGATCTCTATTCTATCTCGCAAATTTTTTTGAAAACTGAAATCTTGCGGAGCCTATCAGCATGGCATTTTAGGCATAGTAGGAGATTGTCATATTCGCAGGAATGGGACTTAGTCCTTTTCTGAAAATCACATCTCTACTGTATTTCGCAATTTTTTTTTTTTTTTTTTCAAGATTGCATTTCGTAAAAACCGAAACTTTGCGGAACCTAGCCTAGATCTCAATCATAGTACTCTTCTGACAGGTCTCACTCATAACAGATCGACAGATATACAAAAAAAAAAGAAAAAAAAAAAAGGAAGTAGTCCTCTTTTATTTTTATTTTTATTTTTTTTTATCTGTTGATTAGGGCCGGGAGGAAAGTATTGTTGGGTTGGTTTCCTACCTACCTCTTCCCTCCCACCCACCCCTTTGCCTGCATTCCCGGTTTGGTACAGCGCCACGTCAGCACAGTGTCACGTCAGCCACAGTGCCATGTCACAGTGCCATGTCAGCAGTGCCACGTCACAGTGCCACATCAGCAGTGCCATGTCACCAGTGCCACGTCAGCAGTGCCACGTTAGCCACAGTGCCACATCACAGTGCCACGTCAGCAGTGCCACGTCACAATGCCACATCAGCAGTGCCATGTCAGCAGTGCCACGTCAGCAGTGCCATGTCAGCAGTGCCACGTCAGCCACAGTGCCACGTCAGCCACAGTGCCACGTCAACAGTGCCACGTCAGCAACAGTGCCACGTCAGCAGTGCCACGTCAGCMACAGTGCCACGTCAGCAACATGACGGGCCCAGCTCTGGGCATGCCAGGCCAACTGGCCAACGAGTCTCTTGCCGACTACAAACAGCGGTTCCAGACTCAGCTCGCACTAATCGAGGCTGAGGAACAGCGCCAGCTGGCAGCCGAGGCTGCCCGCCTACAGGCTGAAGCAGCGGCAACAGCGGAGAAGCAGCGGCTACAGGCCGAAGCAGACGCAGATACCCAGGCACGCCGCAAGGAGGCCCAGGATCTGCTGCAGCGGCATGAAGCCACCAACATCGAAAGACTCAAGTTCTGGCATTTTGAACCATCTAACGAGCACGATGACGCTACACCGGAAGAGCAGCACAAGGAGTTCTTCTCCAAACTCGTGACACGGCTGTTATACACTTGTAACTACCAACGGTCCGAGTTAGAGAGACAGAACCAGGAACTGCAGCAACAGTACCAGGATCTGAAGAAACAGCACCAGGAGTTGGTGAATCTCCGTCGGACAATGCAGAGCCACGAGGACGCTACACGGGCACTCAATTCCCGTGTACTGGACTTGGAGCAAGCTGTACCAGGACCAGATGCTGGTGTGTCCAGCAGTGCACCCTCTAACCGCCAACTGGAGGAACGCGTCGACCACGTCGTCGCAATGCTCGGCGACATCAACACCTTCGCTGCGCCAACCACCATCAACAATCAGCTGGATACCTTGAAGACTGAGGTCCAGCAACTGCAGTTGACCAACACGGATGGCAACAGCACAAAGCATTACAAGATGCCAACTTTTCAAATCGAGAAGTTTGAGGACTGCACGCATCAGGACCCGGTCCTCTGGTGGGAAGGTTTCACGACGCAACTTTGGATTCTTATAGTCGCCAAGCACGCGTACATCGGCGCCCTGTTCCTCAACTCCAAGGGCGGATGCCAGACCTGGTTAACCCACCTGGCAGCCACCCACGGCGTCGACGTCGCAAATTTGAAAGACAAAATCACATGGGAAGAGTTAACACGGCTGTGGAAGAAGCGGTTCATTGTAGACGACGCACCTGCACTCGCCATCAACCGTCTGTCGCCATGACTCAAGGCAACACAACAACACGTGACTGGCTCACGGAATGGCAGAAGATCGCGGCAAAGCCCGAGCTGGACTTACCATTCTCGCATCTGCGCCGTGAGTTCTTCAACAGGTCATGCGCTGCATTGAGCCAGGCACTTGGTGATCGTGAGCAATATGCAACTTTCGCTGAGATCATTGACAAGGCGAGAGAGATCATCAAGACCAACAGGGCGGCTTCACACGAGGGGTCAGCGTGGCAGCCAACCTATGTGGAGAAGGTGAAAACTGGTCCACGACTGCAATAGATCGCTGCAGTCCATTCGGACAATGTTGAAGACCCGGCAGCCACCCAAGCGTCACGTGAGGGAGATCAGGTGGCTGCTGTCCAGCCGCGAAGCAACAACAAGTCCCGAGGAAACGGGAAGGCGAAATCCGCATCGCCGGCCGGAAACGGACAGCCAGCACCATGGGTCAAGTTTCACTTGACCGAGGCCGAGTACAAGTACCGCGGTCATTACAGCTGCTGCTATTGGTGCAACAGCACCAAGCACAAGACCTCCCTTTGCCAGGATCAGGCCAAGGAGGATGTTCGACCTCGCATCAACTCGGGAAACTGAGTTGCGCGGGAGGTGAGACGACTCCAGCTCTCACTCCGCCAGATTCGGCCGCCTTGCTAGCGGCCTCCTACACATCTGGGAAGGATGCGAATGTCGTAAGTTCTCGGTACACTTACGAGAACTATGCTGTCCACTTGGTCCCACCGTTGGACCAACTGCTCCACGTGCAACAATCTACCGCATGCACGGTTTCATCACCATCGGCAACCGATTTGGCAGCTTCGCCGTCATCTATCGCCGGGGATTCAACGTCGTGGTCAAGACTTGAAGAGCTCGACCCGTTGACGTTCACGGACTTCCAGTGGATGCCCGTTCCCCCGACCGGTCGATTGTCGAAACCGCATTGCAACGTGCTCATGGCACAATTGCGGGATTACTTACCGACTCCGTTGATGGACGCCGGAGTAGAGGTTGTCGACCTTCACACCTATATTGCGAAGATCGACCGCGAGTTTAAGACAACGGTACGACGACATCGACGCACCATTGTTGTATGTACGCATTCAAATCGGAGAGGCGACCTGCAGCACTTTCATCAATTGCGGAGCATCTCACAACTACATCAGCCAGGAGTTCATGGTGCGCGCCGACCTTGGCCCACGCGTCCGGAGGAAGTACCAGCCTACGCAAGTCACGTTGGCAGACGGTCACACGCACAAGTCAATCGACCGGTGCATTGATGACGTCCCAGTGTACTTTGCCCCTCACGCAAGTGAGGCGGTGTCCTTTGACATTCTGGACACCAAATTCGACATGATCTTGGGCATGTTATGGCTGCGAAGCGAGGATCACCCGGTGAACTTCTACCACCGCACCGTTCACATTCGTGATTGGAACGGAGTACTAGTCCCATGCACGGTGCCTCTTCCTCATCCTTCGATCAACTGCCGCGTGGTATCCGCTGCAAGCATACGAGCTTTCATCATCAGAGACGACATCGAGGAGATGGGGGTGTGTTTTCTCCACGCCCTCCTGCCCCATGACGCTTCATCGACGGACTCATCTTCGGATCCACGCATCACCGAGCTTCTTGACGCCTACGACAATGTGTTCGAAGGCCCGCACGGAGTAGTACCGGATCGGCCCATCCGCCATGAGATCATCCTCGAGGACGGGGCCGTACCTACGCGCGGTTGCATCTACCGAATGAGCGAGGAAGAGTTAAGTGTGCTTCGGGCACAACTCGACGACCTTCTAGAGAAAGGCTGGATTCGGCCTAGCTCATCGCCATACGGTGCTCCTGTTCTCTTCGTCCGGAAGAAGAACAAGGACATGCGGTTGTGCATCGATTATCGCAAGACGACCTTCTAGAGAAAGGCTGGATTCGGCCTAGCTCATCGCCATACGGTGCTCCTGTTCTCTTCGTCCGGAAGAAGAACAAGGATTTGCGGTTGTGCATCGATTATCGCAAGCTCAATGCGCAAACGATCAGAAACGCTGGCCCTCTCCCACACATCGACGACCTTCTCGAACGACTGGGCGGCACCAAGTTCTTCTCCAAGCTCGACCTCAAGTCGGGATATCACCAACTCGAGATTCGGCAGGAGGACCGCTACAAGACCGCGTTTAAGACGCGATACGGGCATTTCGAATGGCTGGTTATGGCATTTGGCCTTACGAATGCCCCGGCCGCTTTCCAAGCGGCTATGACAATGGAGTTCCGATACATGTTGGATCGATATGTACTTATCTACCTCGACGACATCCTGGTGTACAGCCGGAGTTTGGATGAGCATGTGGAACACATGCGCACCGTTTTGGAGCGGCTACGACAAGCCAAGTACAAAGCCAACCGCGACAAGTGCGAATTCGCGCGGCAGGAGCTGGAGTACTTGGGACATTATGTGACGCCGCAAGGCATCCGTCCGCTTGCGGACAAGATCGAGGCCCTACGAGTATGGCCCGAGCCCACCAACACCACGGACGTTCGTTCATTCATGGGATTGGCGGGCTACTATCAGGAATTCATCACCGGATACTCAAGGATTGTTGCACCTCTGACGAGGTTACAATCGCCAAAGGTGCCATTCGTATTCGATGACGACGCACGCCGGTCATTCCAAGCACTCAAGACGGCGATGGTTATGGCACCCGTCCTCAGCATCTATGACCCCATCCTGCCGATGAGAGTGACAGCTGACGCTTCCGGCTATGGCATTGGGGCAGTCTTGGAACAACACGACGGCGACGACTGGCACCCTGTGAAGTATTTCAGCCACAAAGTGCCTCCCGTCAACTCGCTTGATGATGCAAGGAAGAAGGAGTTGCTCGCGTTCGTGATGGCTCTCAAGCGATGGCGGCACTTCCTCCTTGGGCGTCGTAGGTTCACATGGATCACGGACAACAACCCATTGACCTACTACAAGACGCAGGAGACGGTGAGCAGCACGATCGGACGATGGATGTACTTCATCGACCAATTTGACTTCACACCGAAACATCTTCCCGGCCTCTCCAATCGCGCACCAGATGCACTCTCACGAAGACCTGATCTTTGCGCTATGACACATCATGCCTTCGCATTCGACGAGGAACTTCAGCGACACTTCATCCGGGGATATGAGTCAGATCCGGACTTCGCCACGTTGTATGCGCAGTTATCCTCGGATCACCCGCCGGCCAGCCACTATCGCATTGCCGACGGGTACTTGCTCCTTCAGTTGAGAGGCAAGGACTTATTGTGTGTCCCACGAGACTGTCGTCTTCGGACTCGCCTTCTCGGGGAGTACCATGACTCGCGACTCGCCGGCCATTTCGGAGTCAACCGCACTATTGCACGACTTCAACAACGATTCCGATGGCCCGACCTCATTACGGATGTCACTYGGTATTGCGACTCTTGCGAAGTTTGCCGACGCAGCAAGCCCCGCAACCGCAATCCCTATGGCAAGTTACGCCCGATGCTTATCCCACAGGAACCCGGTCTCTCCATTGCCATGGACGTCACCGGTCCGTTCCCTTGCGACCGGCTCGGGCACGACGGCATCCTCACGGTTGTGGACCGTTTGAGTAAGTATGCGCGTTTTCTTCCTTGCAAGTACTACTCCACGGCTCCCGAGCTGGCACGCCTTTTGCACACCGGTTGGATTTGTGGCCCCGGTGTACCGAAAGACATAGTCAGCGACCGCGACACTCGCTTCATGTTGGCATTTTGGACTGCTCTCATGCAGGAATCCGGCACGAAGATGAAACCAAGTTCGGCTCGGCATCCACAGACGGACGGGCAAACGGAGCGGGCACATCAAACCGCTCAAATGATGCTTCGTACGCTCATCCGTCCGGACCAGAAAGATTGGGTTGACCGCCTCCCCGACATCGAGTTCGCCTACAACACTTCGGTGCACCCGGCGATCGGCGTGACTCCATTCGAGTTGCACCACAGTGGCCGGAAAGGCCGTATCTTCGCTGACCTTCTCCAGCCACGACTAGCCGACATCGACACTGCTTGCTCTCCCGCTTTCGTCCGGAAGTACAGGGAATTGCTGGCTCAAGCCCGCGCAAATATGCAAAAGGCTCAAGTCCGCATGCAACAGCAGGCCAACAGGCACCGCATGCCATGTCCCATCCGTGCCGGCGATCTAGTTTGGGTCTCCGCGGAAGAATTTGCATTGGAACAGGATGTCTCACGCAAACTTCCCAAGTGGTTTGGACCATGGCCCGTAACATCAGCCGCGGGCGATGAGCCCGATGGCCCTTCATTTGTGATCAACATTCCCCCGCATCTGACGGTCCATCCAGTCTTTCACGCCTTGAAGCTGGCAACATACACGCCAGCTAAGAGCGACGACTTTCCGGGCCGACGATCGCAGGACCCTCCTTCTATGGATGGTCATCAGGAAGTTGACCGCGTCATCACCGATTGCAAGTACGGCAGCAAGCCGCGACAGTACAAAGTTACATTTAAAGCATGCGATCGCGATGACACTCAATGGATTTCAGGAGCAGATTTGAAAGCATCCGCACCGCTGATCTACGCGCATTATGAGAAGCAAAGGTTAGCTCAGGAAGCTTCACGACCAGCCCCTCCCACCCGGACTGTGGTCCCTCCCTCARACAGACAGCTTCGCCCTCGCAGGTAAGCTCGGTCTTTCAAGGAAGGGGGGGGGTGGCATACTGCGTAGCCACACGGGCCTGCAGGGCCCGTCCCGCACTTTCAGCCTAAAAGCCTAGAAAATAGGGCTTAGAGGCCCCGGTCGTTTCAGCCTGAAACTGAAAAACGAGGGCCTGCAGGCCCTATTCCGTTTTCAGCCTATTTCTGGGCCTTTCAGGCCCAGAGGCTTTTCAGCCTGAAACGGAGGGCCATTTTCAGGCCCTCATTGTGTTCGACCTACCTAAGACTCGGGCACAAAAACAGGGTTTCGGGAACAGGCTATTTCTGGCCTGTTCCCCACGACAGCTCAAGCAGGAGCTGCAGCGGCAGCCCCTGCCTCCCTTCGGCATTGGCAAGAGCAGCCTCCGTGACTGCCTCGCCTGCAGTCAGGAGGCACCCGAGTAGTACATAGGATGTTCCCATGCACTTCACGGGTAGGTAGTTGGACAGTAGGCACGAGTAGTCTTCAGGATTTCGGCCGCAGCACTCAGGAGGAGCGCTGCAGTAGTCTTCAGCGCTAGGCAGTAGTATTCAGCGCTGGGCGCTCATAGCTGTAGTAGTAGTCTTCAGCGCAGGGCGCTCATAGCTGGTAGTGGTAGTGTTGGAGAGAGATGGCTGGCGGAGGCCAGCGGTACTTACCTGTGGCGCCATAGCTCCAGCTCCATCTTCGAGGT